TTCGTATTTTGATCAACTCCAAAAATATATATTCCCTCGTCTTGTTTTTCGTGTTAATTCACACAATTCGCGAAATTCGGCGAACTCATCGGCGATACTGAAATTAATTAAAATTTCGTAATTTTTTTTTTTTCTTTTTTCCCCCCTTTTTTTGTGATTTATGACGCGTTGGTATTCCGATAAATTTGAATGCTCAAGCAAGGAATCGCCACGTGCTTCTCCCCGTCCCTCCTCGTTATCATATCTGTTCCCCCGAAGACGCGGGCACGGGCACCGATATTGCTCACGTGTGCCGCTTGTTTGTGTGTTGTAACGACGTTATCTCCTTATAGCGGCTAAATATAGCGAATATTCTAACCTGCTTCGTTCAAACGTATGCGATATCGACGCGCGCTCGTTTCGCTCGCTTTACTCGAGGAATGTAAGAATCGAGCATCCATTTTCTCACACCGCGGTCTTCACTTTCTCCATTTACGGCTTCTTTCTTCTAAAATTGTAATTTTTTTTCTTTCTTTCTTTTTTTTTTTCGATACATTAGCGTAAGCCGATTACGCGATTAATAAACGTCTGAAAGATAACAAGATCGAGTCTTCGGAAGCAGGATCTCAAGTGCTAAATATATGAAAATAAATTCAGATAATCATATTCACCAACTATTAGAAATTCAAATAATTATATCGCCAACAACGTGCCGCTATTTTTAGAAGACTTACGACGCAGCGGCTCTACAATAATTCGATAATCAAATATTCTTTATACTGATTAGATATCCCTCTTTATTATCCGCCCCCTCCCTCCCTCCCTCCCTCCCTCCCCCCACAGAAAATATATGATTTTTTTTCTTCGCGAAATATTATCGGGAATATTATCGGAGATTATGAAATAAAAAATGCGAATTTATTCACGCTACTTACCGTAAATAGAGATACATTCTGATTCATTCTTCTTTTTTATCAAACTGAAATGACTAAGAATTTGTTTATATCGAGCTCGGTCGGAAAATCATAATTATATAGCTTTGAATGCGAGTTATTATTAATACGTATCCTTATGACGACGAAGGATACACGCTACGATTAGAGACTATTGCGACATTAGAGCGATATTATCGACGTATGTCATTATCATAATCCAAGCATCCCGTTTAATGGACGTAAGGGTTAATCGAACGTGACAGAAATATTTATAGCCACCTGAACGATCTTTGTATGGGGCGTCGCATCGTCGGCGTCGTTCGCTGATAAATTACGGATGAAACTTCCACTTTTTCCGGTCTAATAACATCACAAGGCGACTTTATAAATTTACCTCGCGGCTCCTCTGTCGTGGAATTAATAAAATAAAAAAAAAAAAAAAAAAAAAACTAAACGACT